AAAATGAATAAACATTAAAAAAAATGCAAAAAAAAAAACCCACAAGCTCAAATATCAATTCATAAAAAAAGAAAAAAAAAACTTCATCTATTCCAGCTCTAACATAATACCTAACATTGTACATTCCACTATTAATGTTTGTAGAATGATTACAGACATTTGATTTAAAGTATTTGAGGGGCACCTGGGTAGCTCAGTCGGTTGAGCGTCTCACTCTTGATTTCAGCCCAGTGCATGATCTCAGTTCGTGGATTCAAGTCCCACATTGGGCTCCACACTGGCAGTGTAGAGCCTAATTGGGATACTCTCTTTCTGTCCCTCCCGTGCACTCTCACTCAAAAATAAATAAACTTTTTAAAAAATAATAAAAATAAATCAAGTATTTAAAAAACGTCTCCGGGGCGCCTGGGTGGCTCAGTCAGTTAAGTGTCCGACTTCGTCTCAGATCATGATCTCACGGTTTGTGAGTTCGAGCCCCACGTCAGGCTCTGTGCTAACAGGTCAGAGCCTGGAGCCTGCTTCGGATTCTGTGTCTCCTTCTCTCTCTGCTCCTCCCCTGTTCATGCTGTCTCTCTCTCTCCTTCAAAAATAAATAAAAACATTAAAATAATAATAATAATAAATTAAATAAATAAAAAATAAAACACATCTCCAACATGAAAAATCAGAATAAACCGGAAAAAGGAACTCAGAGAAAACAGACAACGCAAAGAACAAAGAAAACCTTCCTTCCTTCCTTCCTTTCTTTCTTTCTTTCTTTCTTTCTTTCTTTCTTTCTTTCTTTCTTTCTTTCTTTTTTAAAGTAATCTCTGCACCCAACATGGGGCTCAAACTCACAACCCAGAGATCAAGAATTGCATGCTCTACTAATTGAGCCATCCAGGTGCCCTGAAAACTTTTTTTTAAAAAACTAATATCCTCAGAGAATAAGAAAATAGTGGAACCATGAAGCAAGATTAGATTGCTATGAAAAGAGACACTTAGAGAACAAGAAAGAGGACTTAGAAATCGAAAACATAATCATTAGAATAAAAAATTCAATGGAAGGGCTGGTAAAAAAAAGTTAAGATTTTCCAGAAAGTACTACAAAAAAGACAAGTTTTTGTTATTGTTGTTTTAAGGAGGAAAAAGATAAGAATGGTTCAGGAAGTCTAATACCTGACTATGGGAGTTTCAGAAAAAGAACAACCAGGGAGGGAAAAAATATCAAAACTGTATAGGAAACCATCCCAGAAATGAGCCCTTTATTGAAAAGTCTCAGAATAATAAGACAGACCTACACCAAGGCACATTATTTTGAGATTTCAGAACAGTGAGAATTAAAAGATCTTAAGAGCTTTCTCACCCCTTCCTATTCCTCTCTCCCAAAAAGCCACAGACCTAGGAAGAATAGCCTTGGATTTCTAAACAATGGAAGTGTTCATTTGTTAGAAATAAGTTCTAGAAAAGAAAACTGGTTGCCACTCAAGAGGATTGAGAGGTCAGAATAAAGGTAGAGAGCTGCTATTTTTTCTAACATGTTAGTAGTATTTTACTCCTTTTAACAACATGTATATATTACTTTAGCACAATTTTTTAAACTTAATATTGTCTCTTGATGACATCTTTTTCTTTTGTTCAGAGATTTTAAAGAGAAATTTTCTAATAACTATAACTTCAAAATTTATACAATATTTACTTTCAAAAGTAAACTAAACTACCTATCATTTCAAGTATTCATAAATAGCCTAATTGCCATCAGTCAGGGGTGCTTCAGAGATGGTGGGAGGTTGGAACAGGTGAAATGTAAGTTCCTTATTATTTCTTTAGTTTCTGCAACTTTAAGCCTTAGTCCTTTTTCACACTAGTACTATTTATTCCTGCCCTTCTTCCCAAATCCTGGAATGATCTCTACTGTCCTCTCTATCTAATTATGTCTTTTTTCTAAGACCCACTTCATAGCCACCTCAGTCAATCTTGATTGGTGAATTCTTTGGACTTACAATTATCCATATGCCTGTTTGGCCTTTAATTATATATTGTTTTCTATTACTACATATAGGACCTGTTTTTCCTGTTCATTTAAAAACTTCTTGAAACCAAAGAGTTTGGCTTATACTATTTTAGAATTTAGCATAGTACTTGATATATAATGGGCAGTAAATATTTAAGTAATTATTGAGTGCCTGTTATATATTCTACTATGGTGAAATAAGCATATAGACCTATATCCAAGGAGCTTAGAATCCTGAATTAAAGGTTCAAAGTACTATGTGGTTGGGGCGCCTGGGTGGCCCAGTTGGTTAAGCATCTGACTTCAGCTCAGGTCATGATCTCACGGTTCGTGGGTTCAAGCCCTGGGTTGGGCTGTGTGCTGACAGCTTGGAGCCTAGAGCCTGAAGCCTGCTTCTGATTCTGTGTCTCCCTCTCTCTCTGCCCCTCCCCTGTTCATACTCTGTCTCTCTCTCTCTCTCTCAAAAATAAGTAAGTGTAAAAAAATTTTTTTTCAAAGTGCTATGTGGTTGATCCCAAACTAAACTGTTTCTTTGGTTTACATTTATTGCTATAAGAAAATTCATATATAAACATGTAGGACAAAATATATTTTCATAATTGCCACAGTTTAGATATTCATCCTTAATACCCTCATCAAGATTTCCTTGTCTAGTTCCAAGTACATCAGACAGGTTTACTAAAAAACTTTTTAAGTATAGTTTCTTTTTTTTACTCTTTTCAGTGAAGTATTATGAGGACTATTCCATGCAGACATGGCATGCTACCAAAATCCAAATCTCATCTTGTGCTCAATCAGATTTTCTCCCCTATTGGGTATTATAGATTATATAATTAAATAGATTAAGATTCTATATTCAAAATTTTATTGTGTAAATTCTTTTTAATTTTTATAAATCAAAAAATAAATAAAATTTTAAAATTGTTTTTTATTGTTTATTTATTTTTGAGAGAGAGAGAGAGACAGAG